AAGTCTTATACTCTTTTCTATTCTAGCCTATTTGTCCATATCTGACAACGTTTAAATATTAGAATACACTTACTATCATTTAGTATTTTCTACTTCACAGAAAAGCTACTTGTGGATCAGGAGACAGATTCTATTTTGTTCCATAATGGGAACTTAATGAGTGAGTGACTGGTTAAGTCACGTTTGGGTCAGTCTCCTTATCTGTCAAACGAGATTAATACTCTCCTACTTGGATATCTGGGTGAATTGCCTTCAGCTTCCAGGAGAAAGACATGTAAGAAGATAATAATAAGAACTCTAAGCTGGATTGTATTCTAATAGAAGACTTCTAAAGAACAGCTGGAGAAAGAAAGTAGGGTTAGCAAACCAATAGGTGCCATGATTCCTTTTTCACTCAGAACCGACCAATAAACACAACCATTTTGGCCAAAGTCCAGTGAGAGTCATTGTCATTCTCCAATTTCAATTGGGGGGGCAGCTATTAGCTACTAACATTTGTCCAGTCCCAATAGAGTAGAAGCCGATGTCCAGAACTCAGGATGACACATAGCCCCTCATCTGGTAGGCTCACAGTCTCCACACATTTTCCACTGAATAATTTTTCTCTTCCCTTCTTGCCTTGGCTGCTACTAGGCTCTTTAGCTACTGCTAAGAGATTCTCTTCCCCTTGCCCATTAGGGAGGTTGTCAAGTTCAAAGTCTTTCTAAAATTCAAAATATAAACATCTGTAGAACCTTCAGTAATGAAGGCTGTGCTGCAAAAGTTGGGAAATGTTATTACTTATGTCTCCTTCATATACAGCAATGGGTATTTATAACTGCTTGACCCTGAGCTTGGATTTCATCAACATAATTATGTAATGTTTCACACATATTATATATGAAACAACATATATATTCCTCCATAGAATAAATATAATAAAGGAGCAGCTAGGTGGTACATGGGTAGAGCACTGGCCTTCAGGAGGACCTGAGTTCAAATCCAGCCTCAGACACCAGGTGTGTGACCCTGGGCAAGTCACTTAATTCCAATTGCCTCAAAAAAAAAAAGGAAAGGGAAAAAAAAGGATAAATGTAGTAACTATGAGGTTTTTTAAAACACCTTACATGCATTATCTCATTTGATCTTCAACCTTATGAGGTAGGTACTACAAATATTATATCTACTTAAGGACAGAAAAAAAATGGGCTTAGAGAGATTAAAAGACCTTCTCACCATCACACAGATGTAAGTGGGGGAGGATTTAAACTCAGGTCTCTCTGTCCTTATGTCCAATGCTATTTGGTATATAGTCCCATACTTCAGATCAGTTAAAATTGTGTTGTATAAATCTCATCTTCATTGTAGTAATTTTTTACAAATTCTTTAAATTCAATTCCACTTAGGCAGCCAGGTTGCATAATGGATAGAACACTGGGTCCAGCATCAGGAAAACCTGAGTTCAACTCTGGCCTCAGACACTTAACTGGCTGTATGACCCTGGGCATGTCACTTAACCTCTGCCTCAGCTATAAAATGGGAATAATAATAGCACCTACCTCCCAAAGTTTTTGTAAGGATCAGCTGAGATATCTGTAAAGTACTTAGAAAGTGCCTGGCACTTGGAGGGTGCTGTAAAGATGCATATTCTCTTTCCTCATCTCTGAAAATAATCTAATTCAGACTACTCACTGTAAAGATGGACAAACTGCAGCTCAAACAAGGACCGCTTTTGATTCTCAGTACTCGACAAATTAGAGATCATCTCTCTGACGATAAAAACGGGCAAACAAAATGAAGAACCCTAAAGTCATTTGGGTAGGATTGGTACCCAGACCCAAATTCCAGTGCTATAGCTAACCTTGGCCAACTCAAAACTTATTCTCCAGCTCTACAGTTCTCAGTGATGTCTCCTGACATCCTAGTTCCTATCTCTGCAATATCTCTAAACCATCCCCTTCTCTCTAGTGACGGCCTCCATCTTACGTCCAGCCCTCATCATTTTTAGCTTAGACTATTTCATCGCCTCCTAGCTGCTCTTTTTGCTTCAAATCTCTCTCCCTACTCTAATCCATACTCCAGAGAGCTGCCAAAGTGATTTTTCTAAAGCACAGATATGATCATCTAAAGTGGCTCTCTAACACCTCCAGCACCAAATTTAAACTCCTATGTTTACCATTTAAAGCTACAGGTTGTTTACACAATCTGGTCCCTTCCTCTTTTTTCAGTCTTCTCTCTCCTTTCCACTTATTCCACCTCACAACCTTACTGATCCTCATTTGCAATGCCTAAGCTGCTTTCCCTCTTCAAGCTGGCTCCGGGCTTCCTTCCACACTCAATTCAAGAGACACTTTCTGTAAGAGGTTTTTTCCAGATCCCTCAACTGCTAGGCTTATGCCCTCTAAAGCTACTTTGTATCTACCTTCTTAGTATCTTATTTATACTTACTTGCATGTGTACATGTCATCTCCTTCATTAGAACATAAGCTCCGTGAGGGCATAATCATTTTTGGTCTTTCTTTGTATCTCCACACTTAGCAGTGTCTAGTAAGCACTTACAAATACTTGTTGATTTTATTAACAGCAGAGAGTAAGCAGCTTGGAACAGTGGGGAAGATGTTGGATTTGGACTCGGAAGACCTGGTCTGGAAGTCTGCCTCTGCCATGTGTGTGACTTTATGCCACTTCTCCGCGCCTCACCTCTGTTTCCTCATTTATAAAATTAGAAAATTGGGCTAGATCAGGGTTCTTTTGTGGTGTCATGGCCCTTGCAAGTGAATTGGATTTAAGTGAGGGAGGGCTGTCCAAAGTCACCAGCCTCACTCTCTTTTCGAGAACTAAGGACAACACCACCAACAATAGGGACCAAAGTCTGCTGAAGACAATGGATCCCTTCTTGGAATGTTTTTAATGCATGAAACGCATTGGATTACAAAGGAAAGAAGTTGTATTGAAACGGTTATCAATATGTATATATGTATCTCTAAACTGATATCCTGATGCTGGACCCAGTGTTCTATCCATCTAGGTATGGATGTGTATGCATGGACATATATGTAGCCATATGTACATGAAAAAAAAACCCCAAGATGTCTCGGACTCCAGTTTAAGAATTCCTGGGTTAGATGATCTCTGAAATCCCTTCTAGCTCAAAAATCTGTGCTCTTTCAATGGGGGGGGGTGTTGTTACTTCCATTTTATGGATGGACTTCGAGACTCAATTACATCAGGGCTAAGGACCAGATAAACCTAATCCATTAATGCACATCCAATGGATTCACTAGCCTTCTTTCCCCGTAGAGGGGAGGGGAAGAGAAACAAAATAGGAAAGAAAAAAAACCCCTACCTCTTTCTCTGCATGTGAATGAAAGACATCTCAGGCATGCTAAACACCTCCGTGTTCCTACCTAATTATCACTATTCAGAAGGAAGACTCTTTAGGACATTTAAAACTTGCAGTCTAATAACCCAAGCAGGGAGCGCAACAACTAGCTGTAAGACCAGTGAGGAGTCCCAGCAGGTTGTCCCGAGTCTCCAGTTCCATTGTGCACCACCACAGGACCCCTACAGGGGGCTGGGGAGCGGCTTAACCCTACTGAGCGCTGGCGGGTATGTGGGGGGGAGCATGCCTTACCTCCCCATTGTCACCTCTTCCCTGATTATATTTTCCTTTTCTCTGCCGGAAACTGCAAACCAATCTCGGCGCCTACTTCGGTTAAATTTCCCCAACGCAGGTTTGTATTCACGTTTGTTGCTGTTTGTTCGTGTTCTGAGTTTTTCTGCCATGATTGGGCACTAATGCTCGGACCCAGGGTTGAGACATATTTCTTTTTTACTTCATCCCCAGTCTAGGGAAGATTTGGCATTCGTGCATCACTGAAAGGGAGACAGGTGGGAAGCTAAGAATAATTCTTCACCCTAGTCTTTGTTAAGGTGGAATCTGTAAGGCGCCTAACTACGAGAGGGGATAGACAGGCCCTCAGAGCCTGAGTGAGTGAGGGAGCAAGAAAGTAAAGCGAGAACCCCAAATCATGGGGGTGGGGCGCAGGAGAGAGGGAGGGGAGAATTTAATCTGGAGGGTTTCCCGCTCGGGATCTCAAGACCGTATGATTAGCATAGGCTCCGCCCACTGTGGTCCTCCAGGCTGGGGATTGGCGAGTGCTGCCGGGACCGCACAATTCCGGACCTGGAGGCAGAGGCAGCGGGGCAGTGGGAGGAGACTTGGGGGGAGCGTGGCATGTGCTGCCCCTCTCGGAGGAGGCGTGCCCTTGGGCAGGCCCGAGCGGAGGGGGCGTGGCCTCTGGCGGTGCATTAGGAGGCAGGTGACAAGGGGAGGGGGTGGAGAGGCCGGTAGGCCCGCGGCTAGGGTTCCTGGGCTGCTGTGTCAGTCGGGGGTGGGGGCGAGCGCCGAGGGTGGGGGCGGAGTCGGAGTCGGAGCCGTAGCCGGAGCCGGAGCCTGAGCCTGAGTCGGGCAGCTGCTTCTGCCCCGGGCAGGCAACGCTGGACGCTGAGAGGAGAGAGAGCTAAGCGCGTCCGGCACCGGGAGAGCCCCTGACACGGGAATCTACTTGCTGTGAGCCCCAAGGAAGAAGAAGAGAGCGGGGACAGACATCGGCGACTGCCCGGTTTAATCCCAAAGCCCCGGGTGCAAGGACAGACTGCGGACACAGCCCTCGAAGCTAGGAAGACACCCTCATCCCTGTTCCTCCTCTACTCACCCCTCCCCTGCCCAGGTGAAGTGGCCCTGAGCGGGGTCCGGGGACCCTGAAGCTTTGGGCCCCGCCTCCTGGCTGCCCGTCATGCTGGGAGCTGCAGGCCCGAGAGGAGGAGGACAAGGAGGCGTAGGAGAGGGGGAGTGACCGGCCCCCACCGGAGTCCAGACCCCAGCCTGTCCCCCAGTCGGGGGTTCGAGCGGGCTCCCTTCCCTGAACTGCCGCGCACACCTGCTGCCATGTGCCGCCGCTGGCGCTCGTTCCATCGCTCCCCAACTTTGCAATCTGAAAGAAGCTCCCTGGGCCAGGCTCAGCTCTGAATCTCCATCCGTGGTTTTCAGCGAAGCATCCCAGACCCAGGACCGCAGGCGGCCGGCCGAGGACTGCCCACGGTTCGAGGAGGTGAGAGTTGCTTGGTCCCGGGCCCCTATTCTACTCCACCCCACCCCAGCCCAGTTCTGGGTCCGATTCTCGTTGAGTCCCTTCTCCAGGGGGAGGAAGGGGTGTAAGGTTAGGGGGGTCTCGGATTGGTCTGGCCCTGAACCCAGAGGAAGGCGGGGGAGATTAATGAGTTTGACTCCCGGATTTAAGGGACAATTGAACTTGTTCATTGCTTTCCTTTCTTTAATAACGAGTGTGTGTATGTGTGTCTATGTGTGTGTGTGTGTGTGTGTGTGATTATTGTTTTAAGATCACTGCTCCCGGAATTGGATCCACACTCCCATTCCCGGAGCGGCGCCGGCTAGGAGCTGAAGCCCAGCCAGCGGCGCCGGAGCCGCTTCGTGGCAGCTTGTCTTGGGAGGGATTTCGTAAAAGGGAAAGAAACCAACAGGTTGAAAGACTGAAGAAGCCAGCTTTACTCGGGACTGAGAAAAGTGTTTCCGTTTCTGCTGCCAGTCTTGGTTCCTAGGAGGGTGAAGCAGAAAGGGGACGGAGCTGTAGTGATTCGAAAGCAGGGCAGAGATCAGAGATGGCTCGCCCTGACCTGGACTCGCTGCCTGGGCTGCCGGAGCCGCCGCCACCGCCACTGCTGTCGCTGCTGCTGCTGCTCCTGGGGCAGCTGGCGGGGCGGGGAGAGGCCTCCTCCAAGGCCCTAGTGTGCCAGGAAATCACGGTGCCCATGTGCAGGGGCATCGGCTACAACCTGACGCACATGCCCAACCAGTTCAACCACGACACCCAGGACGAGGCTGGGCTGGAAGTGCACCAATTCTGGCCCCTGGTGGAAATCCACTGCTCGCCGGACCTGCGCTTCTTCCTGTGCTCCATGTACACGCCCATCTGCCTGCCCGACTACCCCAAGCCCCTGCCTCCCTGCCGCTCGGTGTGCGAGCGAGCCAAGGCCGGCTGCTCCCCGCTCATGCGCCAGTACGGCTTTGCCTGGCCAGAACGCATGAACTGCGACCGCCTCCCGGTGCTGGGGGACGCCGAGACCCTGTGCATGGACTACAACCGCAGCGAAGCCACTACGGCCCCTCCGCGGCCCTTCCCGGCCAAACCCACACTGCCCGCCCCGCGCAGCTCGGCGTCCTCTGGCGGGGAGTGCGGCGCCTGCAGGTGTCGGGATCCTTTCGTGCCCATAGTGAAAGAAACGCACCCGCTCTTCAACAAGGTGCGCACCGGCCGGGTATTGAACTGCGCGGTGCCCTGCTACCAGCCCACCTTCAGCCCGGACGAGCGCACCTTCGCCACTTTCTGGATCAGCTTATGGTCCGTGCTCTGCTTCGTCTCCACCTCCACCACGGTGGCCACTTTTCTCATAGACATGGAGCGCTTTCGCTACCCCGAGCGCCCCATCATCTTCCTGTCGGCGTGCTACCTCTTCGTGTCGTTGGGCTTCCTCGTACGCCTGCTCATGGGCCATGCCAGCGTGGCCTGCAACCGTGAGCATAGCCACATCCACTACGAGACCACCGGTCCTGCACTCTGCACTGTCGTCTTCCTGCTTGTCTACTTCTTCGGCATGGCCAGCTCCATCTGGTGGGTCATCCTTTCCTTCACCTGGTTCCTGGCGGCCGGCATGAAGTGGGGCAACGAGGCCATTGCGAGCTACTCGCAGTACTTCCACCTAGCTGCCTGGCTCATCCCCAGCGTCAAGTCCATCGCCGTGCTGGCCCTGAGCGCTGTGGATGGCGACCCCGTGGCTGGCATCTGCTACGTGGGCAACCAGAACCTAGACTACCTGCGGGGCTTCGTGCTGGCCCCGCTCGTGGTCTACTTGCTCACGGGCACGCTGTTCCTGCTGGCGGGTTTCGTGTCCCTGTTCCGCATCCGCAGCGTCATCAAGCAGGGAGGCACCAAGACGGACAAGCTGGAGAAGCTGATGATCCGCATCGGCCTTTTCACCGTGCTTTACACCGTGCCTGCCAGCATCGTGGTGGCCTGCTACCTGTATGAGCAGCATTCCCGGGAGAGCTGGGAGCGGGCCATCACCTGCCCGTGCCCCGCAGGGGAACCTGGGCAGCCCCGGGCCAAGCCGGAGTACTGGGTGCTCATGCTCAAGTATTTAATGTGCCTGCTCGTGGGCATCACCTCGGGGGTCTGGATTTGGTCGGGGAAGACGGTGGAGTCCTGGAGGCGCTTCACCAGCCGCTGTTGCTGCCACCCGCGGCGGGGCCACAAGTCGGGCGGGGCCATGGCTGCCCGGGACTACGCAGAGGCCAGCGCAGCCCTGACCGGCTGCAGGACCGGGGCTCCTTGCCCAGGTGTGCCCGCCTACCACAAGCAGGTGTCTCTGTCTCACGTGTAGGGGAGCCCGACTGGCCGCGCAGGCTGAAGGGCTGCGTGTTGGAGGCATGGGATTGGGGGAGGTCGGGGAAGTTGTTTTGAACAACTGATTTTGGTAGCTTTTTAACAGGTCATTTGTTTTGACTTCATGGTGCTGCTGCTGCTGCTGCTTCACTTCGGAATTTGGGAGGAGGGAGAAGAGACAATTTTGAGGTGGAACATAAGATAGATAGTCCCGGGACTTCTGAAGGGACCTCGCTTTTTAAATATAATTTTTAAAAAATTTTCTCATTTTCAATCCTGTGTGGGTACAAGTTGCTTTTTGGCAATGAACCCTACCTTGGCTTTGGGGAGGAGGGAGGGCTGGCTTTAAATGCTGAGATTGGGCATTATAATGAAGTTCAACTGTATCTGTTTTTTATGAACTTGTTTCTAGCCTGTTATGCCCTGAAAAAGATGTTTTGTTTTTTTAATGTGAACAGGGTAAGTTTGGGCATCTGATTGTGGAGTGGTGGAGCCAAAAGGCCTGTCCCCAGCTCACACCAGTACAAAGTGTTCTTGTGTCTTTAAGGCTAATCATGTCTGTTTTGTGTGGCTATTTGTTCCTCGGAACTGGGAAAGCGCGAAATTCTATCTAAGTGCTTTGAAACTTCACGTGTTCAGGGTCTTCCAAAGTGACAAGGAGGAGGGGAGCGGAGGGATGGCAACTTCTGTTTCTCAAGCTTGTTTGCTACATCCTATTCTCTAGGAATTTTGGTTCTGGAGGCATAGTATAACCTTAAAGTTAAAGGTAGTGCCCTTAAACTCTCTGGTGCAAACTTTTGGAGGCTTTTGAAAACTAGGTAGGCCGAGCTGTTACTTTCAAGCCTTGTGAAACTTGTTAGCTGTTGGTCGAGTCGGAGGAACTTCAACTCAAGTGCCGGACTTAAAGGGGAAATTTGCCTAAAGCCAGGACAAGTTACGTAAGGTACCTACTTGTGGAAGGACTTAGTTTGCTTGTTTCCACATAGAAGCTATGTCTTAATCTGTTTAGTATTTTAGGATGCGTGGGAGAAATCTCTTTAAAAATACATTCAGCCGTGTTTTTCTTTGCCACAACCATCCAAACAAACACCCCCACCACCTCATCAAGTGCATCACCTGAATATTACGTGTTAACCTGGGAAGGACTTGACTAGTGCAGTCCTAACACTGACCCTTGTGGTTTACCAGGGTCCTTTTGCCTCTCACTTCAACTCGATGCTGGCATTCCCGTCGGTCTATCCTTCAATGAGTGCTGCAGTTTAGCAGCACCTCTTTCTTGTCCATCCCATTTCCCTCCCCCTTGTTCCCTGTGGGCACTGGCAGTTTTGGCCTGTAAGGTGTTCAGTCCTGCCTTCCCTGGCCTTTAGAAATTTAGAAATCCAGGGGTGAGGAGCTAGAGAAGAAGAGCACAGCAAAGAAGGACAAAGAAACGTTCCCACTTCTGGATAAGTTTAAGGCCAACTGGTTTCAAAGCTGCCTGGGCTCACTGGCTAGCTAATTCATGGAGCTCTGGGTCTTCTGTAGCTTCCCCTGGTCTTTTGGAGTGTAGTCCATTGGGCGGCCACTGCCCCAGCAAGCTTCTCCCAATATTAATCTAAAAGCTTTTGTCTGGTACGGAGAGAACAAATGAGTACATACTTTACAGGTTGGTCCCTGAGCAGTCTCAACAGTCCATGTTTGCTTTCCCAATCTAATTAACCACTGATCAAAAGCCATTGAGGTTATTAAGCAGAGGAGGGGGGAGACCACTCATGATTTTTTTTTTCAAACAAGACTTGGTGAGAGCTGAACTTGAGCAAACTGAGTACCCAAAGTAATGAAAATTTACTCTAGCTGTCTAGCAAGCAAATCCTTAATATGGGAGGCCCGGGCCTTTCAGTTATTATTTGCACTAACATTACATCTACACATTGGCAAAGTGAAGAAATGTATGCCAAGGCAGGTCTTTGTTTCTCAGTCCTAAGTACTGAAAAATGCACAGTCCCTAATGGGAACAAATGTAGATGAGTTTTGCCAGGGTAAAACATGGGGTTGGTAGATAGGAGGGGAATTCCAAAAATATCCTTGGGAAAGATGATTTCTAGACCCCTAAGTCTGTCCTCAGAATGCATGAATTCTTTGTAGTGAGAAAATTACATTTTTTTGAGGCACCAAACACAATTTTCATGTGATAAGAACTGCATTAGGTGCTACCTTCCAACCAAGTCTATACAGGTGATCTCTTACCTGGGGAAAAGAGAGATGAGAATTGAAGGGCTTAGAGTCTAAGCTAGTTTTGAGTAGTAAGGACTAGACCTCAGAATGGAAAAGCTGTGGCAACAGAAAGTTTGGTTCTTTCTAGGAGACAAGTGGGGGTTGAGGGAGTGGCATTGCTCTGTACCCTTTTCTCTCTCTGCTTTATTTGAGAGCCTCATCCTGGATTCTTCTGGAGAGTATTTCTCTTTAAAGCCAAAAACCCTTCATGGAGGAAGCACCTTCATTCGTCACTGTTGGGATTTCCTTCTGGCACCCAGTCAGTTTCATTTGATAGTATAAATATGTAGTATATATTAGTTAAAATTGTCACCAATTTGAGTTGGCCTTTTGCAATTTTCTATTTTCAGTATAGAAATGTAGGTTGTGGAATGAGGTGGAGAAAATGAAAAAATCTGGGTAGTTTGCCAAAATGCCAACTGCAGGCAGGTTGGCTAGGTGGTTTATTTTTTTTTTAAACCTATATTTTAGTAAATGAAAACAGGTTACCACTGTAGAGGGCAAAACTTCTCTGAAGCCAGGCAGTACTTACAGGGTTAAATTCCTCATCTTTGCACTTTCATGGATAGGTAAGAGTACTGCTGCTGTTAGATGAATTCTCCTACCCCCTAAAGCCTCATATCCTTTATTAGTTGCCTTAAAAACCTGTTAAGTTTTTGTCTTTTAAAAGAGAAAGAGACAAAACCTTACATGCCTTTCCCAAGTCATATATTGTTATCTCACCTTCGTGAGTATTTTGACAAGTATCAGCCTTTCAAATCCATTCCTTGTGACACCATGTAGCCATTCCCCCCCCCCCACGCCACCTCTGCTTTAGACTTAGATGGACATTTGAGTCACTACCAAGGCTGGCAGACTCCTCTACCACTACAGCCAGGGGTGTTTTTAGTTTAAGCCCAACTATACCCAAGCAGCCTTTCCTTGGTTCAAGTTAAAGCACTATAAATTAGAGATCATAATGCTAAGCAAGCTACCCTGAAGAAGCAGAATTGTCACCTCAGTAATCCATATATCAAGGTGGCAAGTTTTCAGGAAACCTGTTGACTTTTATATCACAGTTTGAAATTGTCTAAATTACTGGGAGGTGCCTTCTCGGTTTGAAATCGATACAAAGCTCTTTCTCCCTTTCTATGGAATCTGTGAACTTGTCTCCCAACTCTGTGTGTGTGTGTGTGTGTGTTTTGTTTGTGTGTTTTTAAGGTGCAAAACAGCTTACAAAGTGGGACATTCATTACAATACACTGAGCCAGGGCTGCACTCACTGTACCACTGGCTACTAGGAGAGAAAACCTCCTGGTTCACACATAACAGCATTCTCATGCACAGAATAAGAATCCCAAAGCTAAGAAATCTACTTGTATATTTTTAATTAACTGCTACCTGAACCTTAAAAGGGCCTTGTTAACTTTTGTTTTCTACAGAAGGAATAAGAGGCTGAAAGGGAGAAACTTTGAAAATCCGCTTCTTGACACAAATGGAATATATGTGTAGTCATCAGGACTGTAAACAACACTCACCTTACACGTTTGGACAGGGGTGGGGGACCCTGGACAGTTAACCTGATCTCTGCTAGCCTTTCCCAATTTTCAGACAGCCGCCTGGGACATAGCAACTGGCCTACTCCTAAAGAAGGCCGTTGAATGCCATGCTTAACAAAAGTTGAAGGAAACAGGGTTCAAACACCTACCAAGGAATTAGGAGGATGACAGAAGAGCAGAATAGGATGGGAAACTCCACTGGTTTGGATCCACTTTAACCAACAGTGTATGGTACATCTTTTGAGACAGATGTTGTTACAAACTATGTAAATGTAATTTTGTTTTGTGGTTGTGTGTGTGTGTGTATATATATATACATACATATATACATAATATAAATATATATTATATATATGAGAGATTTAGTGACCTTTGATACGGGTTTGGTGCAGGTGAATTAATTACTGAGCCAAATGGAGTCAGTGGTTAGTTGAGTCCAGGGCATTAATAATTTCTCTAATAGCTATTTAATTTGTATAGTGCCTATTTCATTGCAATACAGTAACTACCATCCTGACAAATCACATCTTACTGAATAGGGGGACCATTCATCTCTGGCAGTGGTAGTTCTACATTTCAGACAACTTGGATCCATAAGTTAGTAATGAGATTATAATTCTGAATCCATCGCTCAAGGAGTGGTTATTTTGTGCCCTGTATTCAGTAGACAAAACAGTTTTATGTTAATGTTTAGTCTCCAGATACTTAAATTGCTGACTTTGTTACTTCAAAAAATTTTTTGTATATATTATATTTGTGAAAAGGTAAAATCATCTGAGATTTTATAAAATTATGGAGATTAGTTATTTATGAGAAAACAAAGAAATGTCTATTTTTTTCTTTGTTCCTGATTAATGTAGATTAAAATAAAAACCATTAAAGCAATGGGAAAAAATGAGATGATGCTGTGGAAATGAGTTTTCTCCTCTCTGTGGGAGAAAGGGCTTTCTAAGAAAACCAGTGGGATATTATTCCTCAAAACTGACCCAGATTCTCAAATTCTCTTCCTACACTGATGGTGAATCTAGAACTAGGTTGTCCTTAAGAAGTATTAAATTTATTAATGCTAAAATTTGTTGACATGAAAATTAACTATGCTTCAATGAAGGCTCAAACCCCCAGTGATGCTTCTTGAGAATCATTAATATATTTTTTTTAAAAAATCTTCACCCTATTCATGACAAACAAGGCTTCTTACTTTATTTCAGCTCTAGGCTAGATTCAGGGTAACAGTAAGCTGGAAAATGTTGAACGAACCTGACAGTGGATGACTGAAAAACTTGGGTAAATAAAGCTTAATTATTTACTTTAATCTCTTAATTTCAAATAGTACCAAGCCAATCTAGGAACACTGGATATGGCTTAATTGAAGCTCTGTTTGATCCTATTCAGGTCCAAGGAGGCATCTGAATGAAGGAGACAGAGAGCACACAGATCCAGAATCCAAAGGCTAGTACCAAATTCATGGAAAGAGCTATGCCAAAGAAGACTAAAGATGGTTCTTCTTGGCTAACTGGCATAGCTACCTCAGTGGAGACTCAAATTACTTTCCACCAGCTGAGTCAGTCTAGTGAGGTTTTAAAAGAAGCCATTCTAATGCAGGGATTACTGCAAAGTTTCTTCCTATGATTCTCTGTGGACTGGATGTATTAGAGAGAAGGTAGGCGTTTCTGCAATTCAAATACGTACCGAGTGTTTCTCATGCTAGCTGCTGTGGGGATTCTTCTTTAATCTACTACAAGTTTATTAAGTTGTAAGCTACTGAAGTTTAAAGCTGTACTCAGACTTTTGGACCACTGCAGTAAGTATAAAACATACTGTCCTCCGGGAGCTTAGAATCCAGTTTGTGAGGCAGAACAAACAGGACACGTATGATTATCAAAAGGGCTAATGCAGAAATGTAGCAAGTCAATCAAGATTTATTAAATACCTACCACCGTGGCAGGCACTGTGCTAAGCACTAGGGATGCAAAGAAGGCAAGACAGTCCCTGCCCCCAAGGAGGTCGAAAACTAAGGGGAGAGATAACATGCTAACGAATATGTACAAACAAGCCACATACAGGATAAGTAGGAAATAGTCATAGAAGGCAGGTACTAGGTTAGGAAAGACTTCCTCAAAGGGAGATTTTAGCCAGTGGGTAGAGACGACAAGACAGTATTCCAGGAATGGGAGACAGTCAGAGAAAATGCCCAAAGGCAAGTGATAAAGTGTCCCCTGTTGAGGAAGCCCATGTCACTGGGTCCAGGAGTCTGTGGTGGGGTGTAAGGTGTAAGACTGGAAAGGTAGGGCACCAACTTCAGTAAAATGGTCCAGAAGAGAAGGCAACTGATGTAGGCTAGAGCGGGTGTGGGAAGGCTTGGTAAGGGGAGGGGATGACGGCCTTTGGGCTGAACCCTAAAGAAGGGGTTTCAACAAGCAGAGAAGAGAGGAAAAGGGCAGGGATGAATGCATGTGCAAAAATATGGTGGTAGGTGCAGGTTTGCTGGTGGATTCAAACAATTTAGAGCTGAGAGGCAGATCTAGTCTAACAGCTTCATTTTACAAATAAGGAAACTGATAACACAGAGGATTTAAGTGGCTTGCCTAATCAAGGCCACAGAAATATCAGAGGAATATAGAGGACCATAAAGTCGAAGGACAGTGTTAGCCAGATTGATTTCTGAGGAGTGATGTTTAATCTATAACGGTCATGTGCAGGGTAGGTATGAATGGAAGAAAAACTGGAATCAGATGAATTTGTGTGACAGTACGGAAGTGAAGAGTGAAGGGGGAAAAAAAAAGCAGTATTCAGTGACTTAGTAGACATGGAAGGTGAAGGAAAGATGAGCAAAAAGTCTATTTTGAGCCCAAGTGACTGAGAATGATCAGGCGATTCCTCTGTCAGGTAATTAGGAAGAAGTTTACAGGGGAAGATGGGTTGGTTTTTAACATCTCCACTTTGAAATAATTGTAAGACATTCAAGTGGAAATGTTCAGTTAGTATTTGGAAATGTAAAATTAAACTGGGTGGGGAGGAGATGGGGGGGAGTGGAGAGAGAAGCCTTAAGGTCCATTCCAGTTTTGTATTGATTCATTCTATGTGACTGGAGATAAGATCAGGAAGCCATAAGCAGAGGTGACAGCTAATGGCTGGAAGACAGCTGAGTTCTCTGAGGGACAGTATAGATCAGAAGGACAAAGTTTGAAAAAGCTCACAGTTAAGGGATGAAGAGGATCCAATGTGTGAGTTTGGGGAAAAGAGGCAGTGAAGTCATGTTGCAAAAAAAAAAAATCAAGAAAGTGCAATGCCAAGTAAAAGTTTCAAGGTGGTCCAGAGTGACAAACTCAGCAGAGAATGAAAGTAGGGAAAAAGGTTGTTTTAACTTGCAAGAACATTACCACAGACTTCCTGAAATTTCAAGCACAAAGGTGGGAAATGGAGGCCAGACTGCCAAAGAGAAGGGGGTGAGGAAATAGCAGCAGTAAGGTTTGGAGCCACCCCAGTTGGAGTGTCAGTTATAGTAATAAATAAGATAGTTACTGAAGAGTTCAGCAGCATAACTGAGCTTTTGTCGTGTCAGGGAAACCACACAGGGAGATCAGCTAAGGTGGAAGAGAAGGAAAGGATGAATGTAGGACTAAGCTTCTTCAGAAGTCAGGGTTGAACTGGGGAGAAAATTCATTCAGTAATTGGGAAAGGTTAGCTTTAGAATGGAAGAACACATTTTTGAAATGAGGAAAGGGCAAGGGGACAGGAGTAACAACAGATGTGTTAAGTTAGGGATGAAGAAATAGCAGAGAATAATTTCTTGAGCTGGAAGAGGACTTAGAGGTCCTGTAGGTCACCCTTCTCATTTTACAGATGAGAGAATGCCCTTAAAGAGGTGAGATCACGTGATTTGCCCAAAGTTACAAAGGCAGTAAATATGACAAGCTGGGAAGACCCAGCTTTTCCCCACTATGTTACAGATGTGGGAACTTCCCCTTGGAAGGCCTCCCAGCTTTTCAATGGAGACTAACTGCTTTGAGTGATGGAATAGGTGGGGTAGGCACCTGACAGGTGGATCAGCAACAATGTGGGGAGTCTATTGGGTATCAGTTTAATAAAAGAACTGTTAGATACTAGGGCAAGGGTTCAGTTAAGCTGGACAGCATGAATAACCAGCTCTCCATGGCTGAACCTTTTCTCAACATTCCTCTGGGAGCCAGTAGCAGGAAATCTGGAAAAGGGGGCTAACAAGAGTGAATCCCTATTGGCTCAGTGGCCAATGACAGGCTATAAATGAAAAGGAGTCAGGTAAGGAGAGAAGGGCACCAACCAGCTATATACCGTGGGAGGAACTGAACGGCAGGGAAGATGGAGAACAGAAGGATTTGTGGTAACCAAAAAGCCTGAGTTCTAGGAAGCCAAGGGGGCTGTGTGCGAGAGGTTGGTGGAATTACGGTAGGTGGCGTTGCTGAAAACAAAGATACTTAACAGAATAGAGCTCTTATTTTTAAAATGCTAAGTTCAATAATATGTACATTACAGAATGTGCAGTATTAATTTGTGCACCTTCCTAATGGCTTTTAACTGAGGTCTTTTGCAGTAGATACTATAGTTGCTCTATAATTTACCCCCTTAAGCATTTCCATGGGCACTAATGAATTTCCCTGACCTCACACTCAAAAGCAGTGATATTCTGATAAGATTTAAAGTAATCAATTACTCCATTTCACTGTTTGCAAAATCTTCATAGCAATACTCTTACTTATCTGCATAGCCTCATCTTGCAATTTCTATACACCTCTAGTTTCCCAGATGGCCTTCCTGATGCCCAGATCCCAAACCACAAACAGGTGTTCTTGACATTTATGCCAACCCTGAAGTCCTTGTTCTCTCACCTGCCAAACCCACTTTAAATTGTTTTCATTTGAAATTGCCTTAGAAACCAAACAGATTGTGCCTGTGAGCTAAGGGAAGGGCCTGGGCTAAAGGGCTTCTGGATCTTCTAAATTTCCTTCAGGTACAGAGCCAGGCCAAATAGTGCCAGTAAATGGTGGGTAGAGTATTTAGCCTTTGGGCAATTTAATCCTGAGTTTCATCTAAAGATTCTGCTTAGAAACTAGCACTTAACTTGGGCAATTCCCCAACAGCCAGTTAGTGTTTTCCCAGGTGGTTGTGTATTCAAGAATATAGCTCTGGGGTCAGAGAACAAGTCAAAAGTCTTTTTCTTAATGTGGTTAGGAAGAATGGCTGGTGAGAACTTCTTTTAGTAGCAGCATAGGCTGGACATGAGAATAAATAAAGACACTTGTTTGTCATTTTGCCCAACTAATGGTGATTTGCCAGTTCTTGATAATATGAACACTTGGGTTTGAAATGGGAATAGTTCTGCTCTGCTTGCCCCTTTTCCAAGTAATTACAATCCTAGGTTTGATTTGTTCTGATGGAACTCTGGTTGCCCAGAAATATGAAGACAGCACAGTAACAAGCAGAGATGTTGAATAAAGGTTTTTAATTTGGTAGTAGGGCCTTGCTGACTTGATAAGGGCTTGGAGGCTTATCTGTCGCTTAACACTCAAGCAATAAGTTCCTTAATTTCAGAGTCTTTCATAAAGGATCTGAAATTTAGATGGCAATATACCAGTCAAAACAAAGTTCAATTGAGTCTTTAATGTTTTCAGAGAAAAACACATGTGGGTAAAATGAATAGATGGCTACAAACCCATGAAACAAGGTGCCATTTTCAAAAAAAAAATCATACCTTGGGGTATTACACGCATATCTATCTCACAGAATAATGTTCCTGAGATTTTTACTTCATCATACCTCTCCCAGCTACAGAACCTTGGGAAGACTGCCAACGCAGGAAAATACTACCAAGTCTTCTCCAGGTTCCACGACGCCTGGCTGACGACCTGGGTTGCCCTCTTGTGGAGCTGTAGTCATATGCCAGAGTCCACCTACCCAAATCTTTATTAATCCATTTCGGTAAATGGTTCAGTTCCTGTTGAGAAATAAAGCAAAAGAGAGATAAAATGAAATTATGCTAAATGACACTTTCAATTAGAGTGCTACGCATGCCAATGCTTACCTGACCTTGGCCATCTCCTTTCCCTTGGGCTTAATGTGTATTTGGATTATATGTAATTATTTCCACTCTTTTCCTAGTCACTGGCACCTAGGACGGTCACACTAACACATAATTCTATACCATGAAAAACATAGCATCGAATAGGATGACTGATTATTAGAATATCAATAATCACCTTCTTTGATTTTGCAGTTTTTTAACTGTACAGATATTATGAACTAATGAGTTTCTTAAACATAACAGATGAGTAAAAATTTGTCAGATTTATCATTTACCAATCATATGAGGTCCAGTTATATCAGCTGTCGATTCACAGACTTGTCCTCAGCCACCCTAAGCACCAAGCAAGAAGGCATAATATCATAATTTAGTGATGATTTCTTAAACTCAACAGCTATAAAAAAAATATCCTAAATCTCCCAAGAAGTCTTTAGAAGGAAATTCAACCTCTTCTACCTGCGTGCTTTCTGGGTACATGACCCTTTCACCCCCACTGGTATGAGAGAAAATCATGTAAAATAATCTAGTGCTATTAAGTCAATTTTCCATATCCTAAGTATAGTTTAAAATAGGATTTTGGAGACTGAAACACACGAACACCAATTTCTTTAGGGGTAAGGGAAATTTCCTGATGGTTTTTCACAACTTCTGTTATAGTACATTGGCCTACTTTCTATAATTCATGATTTCCAGGACTATTTTAAACCTTTGACTCATGAACAAATTCTACACCTTGCAAACTAATTAATCTTTCGAAAACAATTCTTAGCCTTAACAGTGACATCAAATAATTCACTGAGCTCATTCATTTCCCCCCATAGGTTAAAGTTATTTTTAATAATGACTGCATTTACCTAATGCTAGAGTTTGCAAAGTACATTCCAAGGTTTGACCTGAACCTCTCAAAATGCTTGTGAGGCAGACATTATCACATCATCACAATTTTACAGATAAACCCAAGATCCCAGTTTGGTGACTTGCTGATGGTCATACAACAAAGTATCAGAAGCAGGATTTGAATTTGGGTCTTCTGACATATAAGCATGCTATGCCACCTTGCCTATCAGGATGCTTTGGAGCTAGCAATGACATGCAGCATACAGGATCTAATCATTAAAATGCCAGTTCTTTATTACTGACCCAGAAGTACATTCTAATGGCCTTAGGGGAAGGGGAAAACATGAAGATCTCTCGGCCAAAGCACAGCAGCTGGGGTGGAAAGAAGGCTGGACTTGGAGGCCCCTTGGTTGGGCGAGGCATTTATTTGACTTCTGAGTCTCATTATGTGCATCTTTGAAATAAGGGAGCTGGAAGAGGTAGCCTCTGGATTCCACGAAGATGCTAAACATAGGATCACAAAATCCATTCTTTCAACTCGTTTAAAGAAAAATACACACCAAATTATCTTCAGATCTTATCTGATATACCTTATACATTTTACACAATTTAAAGAGCAAAATATTCTTCATTTGCAAAACATTAGTAAAATACAATCTGAATATGAGAACCAATTTTAGGTAATGATGGATATTTATCAAATGGATATTTGTGAACAAGCATACTGAAAGTTTGAAAATGCTTTTGGAACTCTGTTAGGTCCAAAGAATGAAAAAAATGAATTAAAAACACCTAGGTCAAGCTTTGTTAAGGACCAAAAAAGGGTTTTTACAAAACACACTAACCACATTTTAATTAAAATAGAGTTTATTATTAGCTTTTCTTTTAATATAAACGTGAGAAAGAAAAACCACCTGAAGTTGTAGCATTCTTTTCAAAATAAAACTGCAATCAATACCTGAAGCTCCAAGCTCCAAACTCCATAAACCATGTTTCTGGAGCTGGTAGATTGAAATATTAAAAATACCATTATTTATCATTTGTATAGCTCTTTTCCTTTGACAACAATGGGACCCGCAGCACGCAGATCTGTGGGTTTAATATGTAGCATTACTATGGTGGAAGAAAGAGTATACAGGATTCCTAGACCAGAAATGTTTTGTTCACTGGGCAAAATACCTAGGGATCTACACATAAAGGAGAAGGGAAAAGACACGTAAAATTATTAATATGCTCTAATGTTTCAGATCTATTTTGAATTTGGTTGGTATGGACACCAACTTCCTGAATCCTCCTCTCCCCACTTTTCAAAAACTTAAAATGTTTTGTTTCGTTTTGACCTTGTCTTCTCTTGAGCCATCGAGAATGAGAAGGAACGAAACTGTAACTACATCTAAGTTACACATAAAGTTTAAAAAGTTTGGACAAGTGTGATATGTTAGGAACAGAATAATCATCTATCACTATCACTGAGTCCAATTTTTTCCAATTCATTAATTTCACTTCAGATTCATTGTGAATCCAATTCCCTACCATTTCCCCCTTTCTTCCCTCCAACCCTCTAAAATCTAGAAGCAGAAATTTTAGGAGACCGAAGATAAACTGTATTTTGCACTGTAAACTCCACTGTAAATATAGCATGATGGCGCTTCAGAAAATAAAACTTCAAAAACAGCGTATTACACTAATCACGTGTCACTGGATCACCATGTTTGGAAGATTAAAGTGTTTTAACCCACTTCCTTAAATGCATGAAAAAATGTTATGGTCTGCATATTTTCCAGAGTAGGAGCAAAAGGAACAAGATGAGAAGCACCATAATTGACAAACAGCATGGACCCAATATAAATTTTCTTTGCTCACCAACCCAATACTTAAGACTGTCTGTATAACTCTAGGATGACACGGTGATCCACAGCCAGCATACACTCTGCCCAGCAGCTTTGTAATTTGATTGCTAATAGTAATTAGCAGCATTAATGGTAACAAAGTAAGGAGGAAAAACCTTTCAACGCTGACCAATGCTACAGGTTATCTGCTCCTAAGTGGCTTGATGCTTTATTTTAGAGTCCCACATTCTGAAGTTAATACCGCATTGACTGTGAAAGGCATCTGCAGCAAGGTTCTGGAGTGGTTGGAAAGGTAGAGGGAACTTTTTAACTACAGTCACACGGTTAGTGTTTAAATGCTAAAATTTAAAACTACTAATTTTTTAAAAAACTTACATAGTTCACAGCTATAGGCCTACACAGTAAGCAAACATCTGTGTATGGGGTGGGATTCAGGAGGTTTCATTATAAAGTTTGTTTTTGCACCTCTGGATACATTACAAAGGACAGGAGAATGTGCTGCTTTGACAAGGTCCCATCCTTCCTATGGAGTGTGATCCTCAGGGTCCCGAGTCCCTCGGAGTCAGTGCCCTTCCTCTTGCTGAAAACACTCTCATGCTGGTTGTCGGGCAGGGAGCATTTCTCCACTCTTTACCGATGCTGGCTTTCTGACGCACTGCACCTCACTTCTCCTTCAGGAGAGGATGGCGTTAGAACGGCGGATACCGACTAAATTATCAGCACTGAAAGATCGTCTCATGGCAGCTTTGGACAAGTCTTTGTATTTGTCTTCACACAGTCTGGAAATAGCCTAGAGAAGGAGCAGAGAGAGAATCAAGGCTTCAGAAATTCAGAGCCTCCCTCTTTATTAGCCTCTGTGAGAACAGAACCTATGACTTAGGACTCTCGGCTTCTGTCCTGTATGCTACAGCAAAACACCCTTTGTTGCTATAAAGAATTCCAGGGAGAAGAAATGGAATAAGGGTATGAAAAAAAATCTAAATTACCACCTGTCAGAAATAACACATCCCATTTTTAAAAATACTGTTATAGTTTATCACAACCTCATTTGCTCCCTTCATGTATATGTGTAAATTCAATAGATTTGATGTCCACATTAGATGGGAAATTCATTACTGTACTAGTAACTGGAGCAAGCTAAAAATAAAGGAAGTCTACCTTGGGCTCAATTGAAACACCCAAAGCATGTGAAAGGTGATTTTACTTATGATAAAGTTCCATGCCAAGGAGGACCCCAAAGACAGTGTTCATGGGAGTCCAAGGTAATGAAATGCATGGATACTCACCTGCATAATCATGCTTCATTAAGTCTTGTTCAGCACACATTCCTAATTCTTAGAAAAAACTCATTTCAAATATAAATTGGCATAAAAGTCCTCCTAATACAGCTATAAATTAACTAGATGAATTTTCATATGTGGCTTATATAAATCAGTCCTGATACTTTATAATCATATTACTTATGAATACTTTGGGGTCTACGGAAGTTATTCACAAATGGTTAAAAACAGTACAGATGGAGACTTCTTTTTTTGGAAATAGTCAATGCAAGAATTTGTTTTGTTTGACCTACACATATTTGTTGCAAGGTTTTTTATTTCATTCTTTTTCAGGGGAGTTGGGGAGAAGGGAGACAGAAAAAGCATATTATCATTAATTGAAAAAAGTAAAATTTCTTTTTAAAAATGGCTAAAGACAATAAAATGCCAACTGCTCATTTTGCTAAGAAACAGACTGGTCCTGACCCTGAGTGGCAGAAAGCTTCCGTTAGAAAAAAGTCACTATTAAATATTATTTGGTTGTGGTTTGGTTTATATCACTAAAGGAACATTGAAACTTTATAAATTCTGGGAGGACTGTGTTACATTCAGTGTGAATGATTTTATTCTATGATGACTGACTCTGACCTGGAAGCCTATGACATTACTACATTACGTTCTGCCAACACTCCTTAAGTCCACAGGGTAGATTATGGTTTGGAGCAAGCAGTGATCTCTTTATCTACTGTTTTAGACTACAATCCTCTGCTTAGTTAAAAAAAACAACAACAACAACAACTGATGCGACTGAATGGTATTAGATTTAAACTTTCCCTATCATGGTAACCTATGGTTTTTAATTAACATTTTAATTTTCATCAACAAACTGAGCCTACAAAAATATAGGCCCATGACCACAAAAACACCCCCTAAATCAAAACCAAGCCATTGTGATTGTACCCAACGGGGCCCATCAGCTGATGCTCCTGAGAGAAGAGCATTCAGGCAGTCTGTCCTTGACTTGTACTGCTCTTCTTTGATGTTCACATGGGTCTGAATGTAGGCATGATATTAATATTCTCCTTTTAAAGACGAGGAAATTGAGGGTCAGAAAAGTTAAGTAATATGTTCAAATTCTCCCAGTTAAGTCAGGAGCAGAGCCAAGTGCCAACCCTTGAGCTTCCTTCAGATGCCAAGTCCAGTGACCTTCCTGTCCCTAGCAAAGGCATACACACAAAAGGTACTTAATGCCTGTTGAACTGAATACTTCCTCCATGACACATCTGAGACAGTCTAGTTTAGGTCATATCAATGACTGAGATCATATTAATGAGGGCATTTCCTCCACTGGAAGAGATGGCAACCTATGTATGTCTTAAATAAAATTCTGGAAATTGAGTTAAAAGTAATCACCATAGTAATAGCTCTGTAGACACCCAGATGTAACAGAATACAATTCCAAGAAATTGTGACTGCATGTTTATGAGGGTGGGTAAGGACTCAGAAAAATGAAATCATTAAAATTTAGCAAATTAAATTTCAAATTTATTTGCTTTGATACATTCATTTGAACTATGATCCTCAAGGCCAGCACCTGTAACTTTTGTGCTCTGTAGATCCCAAGCCACAAAAGCAGCACAGGAAATGTTGATGACAAAGGGTTAAACTCTTCAATACGTTGACATAAAAGCTTTCAGTTTTTCTAATTACCTCCTAATATGATTAGCAACAGCCAGCCAGAGTTTTTGTTACACAACACAGCAGCTCAGCACAACGCCAACATCCTTTACCTCAAGTTTCTGTGCACGCTCTTTGCTGAGGGGCTCCAGCAGAAAACTCAAGTTGTTGTCATCTGCTAAGGAGCGAAGGTCAAAGTAGTATTTGGCATAAACACTGGCAGGAACATTAATATTAAATTGCAGGAGCTCCAAGAAGTGTCTTTCCATCTCATTCCTAGGGGAGATTAGAGAAGAAACAACACAGTCAACAGTTTTAGTCAAACTATCAGTCGGCCTTTAAAAATACCATTCTAAGCTACCAGGAGGGCTCTAAATTCGGTTTTGAAATAAATAAAGGCTAGAAGCTGGATGAATACACTTAATGTTCCAACAAGGTAGAGTTATTTATGGTCCCTTCGGAATCTCAGCACTTTCAGCTGGGCGTATCGGGGGGCAAAAGGTTAGGGCACTGCTTGTGCTCCCAGGCTGCTGACTTAGGGGGCTCATTCTTCAGAGTTCCATTAGTGCAGCTGGACAATTCATGCTCCATTCTCACTCTCGTAAGGCCCCACTCTAGTGATCAGATGAAAGGAATGATGTATGCTGTTTATTAGCTCTGAAGAACTTGCAGACATTTTCACCAGGCTGATAACAGGAAGGGGTTTATTGAAGTAGAGGCAGGCCAACAAAAGGAATAGGCATATCACCACGGCAACAAATGGATCTATGAAGAGCTACTGCTATTATCTCTAAGGAAAAAAAAAGCCTCTTGAAGCAACAAGGATTCATCTCCAAAATATTAAATAAATAAATAAGTAGCACTAGATCTGAGGTGGACACCCCTCCTTTCCCCCTCCCCCTCAAAGGATACAATGCAAGTTTTTGCTCGTCTTAACATATATCGCCTACTCAGTGCTACAGGAGAAAATACTCTCTTCATCAACAAAAAGCAAAAAGATCAAAGATAAAATGTGTCTCAGACTAAACCCACTTTATAAAATGAGCTGTGGCCAAGGCAGAGACAGTACACTCGTATGCTCTAGGTAGGGTCTGGAAATGGCGGCCTGTGTCTTACTGTCCACCAGAGGCTTGGGATGTAAATTCGTCCATGCCATGCAAAATCAAGCTTTCTGCCATTTGAAATATGAGCATTTATAAAAAGCATTACGAAGTAGCCCTTGCTGCCTTTCTAACAACATAGAGAAGAAAAACGGTGGAAGTGTAGGGTG